AGGACACAGGGGAGGGGCGGGGGGGTGGCGGTTGTCATTAGAGAAGGTCTTGGTCCGAGGGAGGCCACTGTTCCTCAGACGGCTGGTTGTGAGTCCCTCCTTGTGAAGTGGGGTCATGGGGTGCAGATGGGTGTGCTGGTTACGTACCTGGCTCCCTGCCACGTGACGGCAGCCCTGCCCGAGCTGCTCAACGTTATAGCCGCGGTGGCGGTTGACACCCCCAGGCTTATGGTCATGGGGGATTTTAACCTGCCATCCGTCGGTGAGGCGTCTGAGGTGGCTCGGGAGTTCATGGCTTCCATGACGGCTATGGACCTGACCCAGTTAGTTCATGGCCCTACTCACACGGGGGGAAACACGCTAGACCTGGTTTTTGTCTCTGGTCAGTGGTTGAGTGATCTTGAGATAGGGGATATAGTGATCGAGCCCTTGTCATGGTCAGATCACTCCCTCCTTCGCTTTGACCTTCGAACCGCCGCACCCTGCCGCAGGGAGGCGGAACCATTGAGGTGGTACCGCCCCAGGCGCCTGATGGATCCTGATAGGTTCCAGACGGAGCTTGGGCCATTTCCTGAGGCTCTGGCACACGGCTCGACTGAGGAGCTGGTGGCCGCCTGGGATAGTGCAGCCGCTGGAGCTTTGGATCGGGTCGTGCCTTTGCGGCCTCTGACCCGGCGTCGATCTCGCCTGGCTCCTTGGTTCACCGAGGAGCTGAGGGAGATGAAGCGCCAGAAAAGATGCCTGGAGAGTGGTTGGAGGGCCAGCCATTCTGAATCTGACCGAACACTGGTAAGGTCTCATATTAAGACCGACCTGGTGGCGATAAAAGTGGCGAAGTATAACTATTTTGTCACTCTTATTGCATCATCAGATAATCGCCCGGCTGCCCTGTTTAGGGTGACCCGCTCCTTGCTCCACCAGGAAGCGCGGGAGGACCCCTTGGAGGGTAGAGCCGAGGATTTTGTACAGTATCTGTATGACAAAATCGCTCAGATTCGGGAACATCTGGACTCTGACTGGGTAGATTCAGCGGGGAGGACAGAGGCAGGTCTTGTGAGTATTATCTGGGAAGAGTTTGATTCTGTGACGCCCGAAGACGTGGACAGGATACTGGGCAGACTGAGCGCAGCCACATGTTTACTGGACCCGTGTCCCTCCTGGTTGGTGCTGGCCTCTCGGGAGGTTACACGAGGCTGGCTCCAGGGGATTATAAATGCTTCCTTGAGTGAGGGTGTCTTCCCTGCCACCTTGAAAGAGGCGGTGGTGAGGCCTCTCCTCAAGAAACCTTCCCTGGACCCGGCAGTGTTGGCAAATTATCGTCCAGTCTCCAACCTTCACTTCATTGCGAAGGTTGTTGAGAGTGTGGTAGCGCGACAGCTCCCCCAGGACCTGGATGAATCGTCGTATCTGGATCCGTTCCAGTCGGGCTTCAGGCCTGGGTACAGCACGGAAACGGCATTGGTCACGTTGGTTGATGATCTCTGGAGGGCTCGGGACAGGGGTTGTTCCTCTGTCCTGGTCCTATTAGACCTCTCAGCGGCTTTTGATACCATCGACCATGGTATCATGCTGCACTGGCTAGAGGAGTTAGGGGTGGGGGGCACCGTCCTACGGTGGTTCTCCTCCTTTCTCTCTGACCGGTCGCAGTCTGTGTTGACAGGGGGGCAGAGGTCGACCCCGAGGCCCCTTGTATGTGGGGTGCCACAAGGGTCGGTCCTCTCGCCCCTTCTGTTCAACATTTATGTGAAGCCGCTGGGTGAGATCATCCATGGTTTCGGGGTGAAGTACCACCAGTACGCTGATGATACTCAGCTGTACATCTCCAGCCCGGACCACCCCAATGATGCCCTTGAAGTGATGTCCCGGTGCCTGGAGGCCATGCGGATCTGGATGGGGAGAAACAGACTCAGGCTCAACCCATCCAAGACCGAGTGGCTGTGGTTTCCGACATCCCGATATAGTCAGTTGGTGCCATCACTGACTATTGGGGCGAGTCACTGGCCCCCACGGAGAGGGTTCTTTAGAAGAGCACATGACCGCCGTGGCCAGGGGGACTTTTTATCAGGTCCGCCTGATTCGCCAGTTGCATCCCTTTCTGGATCGGGACTCGTTAAATACGGTCACTCATGCTCTCGTTACTTCCCGCTTGGACTACTGCAATGCTCTCTACATGGGGCTCCCCTTGAGGAGCACCCGGAGGCTCCAGCTGGTCCAGAATGCGGCCGCGCGGGTGGTTATGGGAGCGACGTGTGACCCCCCTCCTGCGCGAACTGCACTGGCTCCCGGTGGTCTTCCGGGTGCACTTCAAGGTTTTGGTTACCACCTTTAGAGCGCTCCATGGCATCGGACCGGGGTATCTACGAGACCGCCTTCTGCTACCAATAGCCTCTCACCGACCAGTACGCTCCCATAGAGAGGGGCTCCTCAGGGTGCCGTCGGCCAAACAGTGTCGACTGGCGGCCCCCAGGGGGAGAACCTTCTCTGTGGGGGCACCTACCATCTGGAACAAGCTCCCCCCAGAGATACGGAAGATCCCGGACCTGCGCACGTTTCGCCGTGCTCTCAAAACTTTTCTATTTCAGCAAGCTGGCCTGGCCTAACTCCCATCTTTTAAATTTTTAAATTTTTTAATTCGTGATTTTACAAATTGGGTGTTTTAATCTGTGTTTCGGCCGAAATATTTAATAATTTTAAGGGATTTTTTAATATTTGTATTATCTGTATTTTATCTTGGCTGTTCACCGCCCTGAGTCCTTCGGGAGTAGGGCGGTATAGAAATTTGATAAATAAATAAATAAATAAATAAATAAATAAATAAATAAATTAATTAATTAATTAATTAATTAATTAATAAACAAACTGAGGATTCTCCCCATGAGATGGTCTCCTGGCCTGGAAGAGCTTCCCCTTCAGCCTCTCCCATCTCGGAAGGCCCAGGAGAAGCTCCGGGTATTTGGGAGGCCATTGCCTGGAGGGGATGAGATCTCCCTGGACCAAATTCTCTCCCTCCGACATTCGAGGCTCTTTTCCATATATATATATATGTAAACCACCAAAGACCAGATTGACCCAGACTCCATACTCACAAACACTAGAAACTTGAATTTGATTTGGGTTTTTTGTCTCTCCCTTCAATGGCTGGGGTGAGATTTTTATTTCAGAAATAGGAAAGCTTACACATTTTTTTAACAAAATAAAGAAAAATTCTAAATTCTACATCCTTTCAACCTGTGCAGAAAGTAATGTTAACACTATAACTATTTTAGCTATTTTCTATAAGCTGTTTGATGACACTATTTTTTTAAACGTCCAATTTCACTTCATCTTCCAATCTTTCTGCTCTGCGTCTCCAATAGATTTGCTTAAGGCTGACTTTTATCATTCGTTCCTTTAATTGCTGTATATCTCACGGATCACACTCTACAGAGCTAAAGAACTTTTTCTACAGAGTTTGATAATTTCTCTTTTTTTGGTGTTCGCTTTTTATTTTTCTTCTGTCAAAGTCTAAGTTTTCCTTTGTTTTTTTAAATATATTTTTAAATATTCCTTCATTTTCTCTGACCCTTCCCTCCTTCTGATTCTGGGCTGCATCTGAACAGAAGAAATCAGATTTTGCATTCAAATCCTCCAGTTCTTTTTTTAAATTTTTTTTATTAGATTATAGAATAAAATACAAAAATAAACAAAACAAACAAAGAGGAAGAAATGGGAGGAGGGGAAAGAGAAGTGGGGGGGGGAGGGAGAAAAGAAAACAAAAGCGTTGATTTCAGACTTCCTCTATTGCAGTAAAATAAAGCCTTTTTACCTTTCCATAATAATATAAATAGTTTTGTAAAAGAAAGCAGATTTCACATTCAAATCCTCCAGTTCTCAGGGAAGACAAAAGTCCCGCCTCTCTTTCTCTCTACTGGCTGCTTCTATTCCCGCCCCCTTCATCATGACAACCCTGTAGCCAATCAAAGAGGGGGAAGAGATGGTTGCCTGGGAGCTTCCCTGCCCTCAGCCTGATGGAGAAGAGGCTGAAGAAGCCAAGCCAAAGGGGGGGGGGGTCAAATAAAGAGCAAAATCAAAGCTTTGGGGGGGATGAGAAAGAGGCAAAACCTCCCAGAATTGCAGAGGGAGGGTGGCTTAAGCCCCTTCCCCAGAAAAGGCTGCAATGAAGAGGGTCTCCTCAGCTGGGAGGTCTGGAGGGGCCACAGGGGACCCCGATCTTCCTCAGAGTCACAGAAGGTCCCCTCCAGCCACCTTTTCCTCCAGGGCAAACCCGGATCCCCCTTGGAAGACCCAGCCCTGCATGGCTTCTCCCCCACGAGAGCCTCTCCTGGAAAGACATGGAGCCAAAGCGAGGCTGGAGAAACCCCAGGGGCTGTGTCCCCCCAACATTCAACCCTGAGACCCATAAACCAGGTTAGTCTCTTCCCAGGAATACCCCAGATCCTCTCCTCCTCCCTGGCCATCCTGGACTTTCTCCCTGAGTGCCCCATATGTGGAAAGAGGTGGCTGAGCAACATGAGATATGGTCTCCCCACTTCCCTGGACTCAGAAGATGGAAGTTGGATTTTGCAGATAAGCTTTCCATCTGCAACACAAGGATCCTGAGCTCCCCTTCCCTCCTTTCATCCCTCCCTCCCCTCCCCACACGGGGAGAGAGGCAGCCTTGATTTCTCCATCTCTTTTCACTTGGATATCTCTAACTTCTCTCTCTCCCTCTCCCTCCCTCACTCTCTCTCTCACTCTCTCTCTTTCTCTCCCTCTTTCCCTCTCTCTCTCCCTCTCCCTCTCTCTGTGATTTTTTTTAACTTTGCAAAGTTCAAAAAACTAGTTTTTCACTAAGGTTGATTTTGTTCTTAGAGACTGGCTGCACTATTGCATCAGCCCTTTTGTGCGATGCCCTTGAGCATTAGCTTTCAAAATAAACTAAATTTTGGTTCTAACTCAGCTGGCAGCTATTTCAGATCTGTGACATGCTCTGGCATTAACTGCCCCCCCGAGTTTTGTCTTTCATCACTATGCAAACAAATATCAGATTTATTTGTTATTTCAGCCACAGGTGCCATGTATTCCCTGCATGGAGCTCCCAAAACTCTCAATTCTAGATGATGGATTTAATTCCATCTCTCCTCCTGTTATTTTGAATCACATGGGGATTATTTCCCTTTCATTTCCCTCCAGAGAATTTCCTAACAATCTCCAAGTCCAAGAACTAGTTGAATTATCCAGGGATCCCTCCTGAGAGGGAGAATTATAATAAAAGTTTCAGCTCTGCTGTTTGGCCAAATCCTCCAGGGGAGACTTTGGGCAGAGAAATATGGAGGTTTGGGACAGGCAGAGTCTGTGCTCTTGAATGTACATCTCTCTCCTTTCCAGGTGAAGCTGAGTGTTTCTCTGGGTTGAGAAAAAGCAACTGGAGTTTCCACCTTGTGAGACTCATTTGATTCTTCTAATTCTTCCTTAGAAACAGGAAAGGGATTCATTGATTCACCCCATGAATGATGGACCTCCTGCTTCTGCTTCTGCTGCTGCTTTTGTCCCATCCAGTCTCTGGGAAGCTGAGAATGAAATGCCCGCTGAGTTTGGAGAACCAGGATGGGAAACCACGGAGCTTCTACAGACCAGGAGACCATCTAATCAGTATAGTCACCAGTGGAACGGAAATATTGCATAGAAAGTTGCTTTTCAACGTGGCTCCTTCTGTTCAGCTTGTTTTCCATGATTCGTAAGTCATTCAGGGTGATGGAGTTGCACTCCCTCCATTCTAACACTCTCCTTCTTTTCAGTTTTTTTATTTTTCATTTATTCCTATAATTTCCTGAATGATTTTGATTTCCATGGCTTCTCTCTTTGGTCTGATTTTGTGAAAGAGACTCAAAAAGGGGTCTGAAAAAAAGATGAAAGGGCTGCAGATTATTTTCCTCTCTCTGTTCAATCCTTAATTTATCACTTGGATAATGAGTTTTATTTAAAGTAGTGGTGGAATCAGTTGTAGTTGCCGTACCTCAGCCCATTTCAGTATTTGTGTATCTGATCATTGCTTTTGGATCAATGCTGGTTTAAGGCTCAGTAGGCTTCTGGAGGATTATATATTTTATACATAACAAAAGTATTTGTTGTGGCTGTTGATTATAATAACTTTTTTTTCAATAGGACTTCTTACAATTTTTTTTATTGCTTACTATTCATTTTCAACATTCAACTGGCTAACAAAAATTCCCATCTCTTGCACAATCTCACACTTGGCTACAACATCCATAACAACTATTTGAGCACTTTACGCACTTCAGATGCCTTGTTGGACATGCTCTCCACTGGAGAAGCCAATGTCCCCAACTACAGCTGTGGAAGGAAGGAGAACCTTCTGGCTCTTCTTGATGCAGCTCATAGGGACATCTCCATCCAGATGTCAACATTAGGAGGCACCTACAAAATCCCGCAGGTTTGTGTGTGTTTTTCTCCCTCTGGTAAAGGGAAGGGTGGGTGGTGGTGGGTGAGCAATAGATGCAATCATGTCTTCTCCATGGAATTCAAGAGCTGCTTTTCTCCATATTAGCAAAAATCTCAATATTTTACTCCATTATGTTCATGTTGAGATTAATATAAAAGGCCTGAAATGCAAGCAATACATTCCCTGGAGAAGATATTCTACCAACTATTTAACTGATCAAAAAATATCCCTGGTTGTTGGGGCCTCTATTGGCATCTTCATTTTCACAGAAAAATAATGCATTTTATCTTTCTAAAAAGTAGAATAAAAAGGACTCTAGCAATTATAGGTCAATTATACTAGCAGATATTGTGGCTAAAATTTATGCCATGATCCTCTTAGTTAAACTTGAGAAAAATTCATTCCGTGCAGAAGGTTTTAGGTAGAGTTAAATGCTATATAGCTTTTGTAAGAAATAATGCATAAATTAATAATCTAATATTGGCAACAAGTTTGTCTTGAAATAGTTAATCTATATCACTGAGGTAAAACAAGGTTTGCTGCTTTCTAGATGTTAGTGCAGCATTTGACTCAATAAACAGAGAAATATGATGGAGAAAATGTTTTGCCCTCAAAATGGAGCTCAGCCTGTTGGCCCTGATCCAATCCCTTGTTTGAGAGGGAGGTTTGGGCTCAATGGAGCCATGAGAAGGAGGATCTACGCTTACCAAGGGGGGAAGGGAAAGATGCACATTTGAACCCTTGTTATTCAGTCAAGATATGAATAACTTACTAAGACTAATGCAGGATCAAAAAAAAGATCATTAATAAATGTTATTTCATTCTTTGACAAAAATGACTAAATTAGTGGACCAATGAAATGCAGTGCATGTAGTATACAGTACTTGGATTTCAGAAAGGCTTTGACAAAGTAAACCACAACCTATTTCTCGGGAAGCTGAAAATATGTGGGAGAGACAGCATCACCCCCAGATGGGCTCAGCCTGTGGTCCTCAATGGAACTACGTCTGCATGGAGGGAAACAAGCAGTGGGGGACCCCAAGGCTCCATTTTAGGCCCAGTTCTCTTCAACATCTTCATGAATGATTTGGATGGAAATCATCAAATTTGAAGACAACACTAAAGTGGCAGGAATAGCCAACACCCCAGAAGATAGGCTCAAGATCCAGATGGATCTAGGGAGACTTGAATCTTGGGTCTATCTAACAAATTGTAATTCATTGTAGAGAAAAGTAAGATTTTATACTTAGGCAGGAAAAACCAAATGTACACTTGATGAGGTGAAACCTGGCTCCATAACAGTAACTGTGAGAGGATCTTGGAGTCCAAGTGGACAATCACTTAAATATGAGCCAGCAATCTGTGGCAGCAGCCAAAAAAGCCATTGCAATTCTAGGTTGCATTAACAGAGGGATAAAATCAAGATCACATGAAGTATTAGTACCGCTTTATAATGCCTTGGCCAGACCACACTTGGAATCGTGCATCCAATTTTAGTCTCCATATTATAAAAAAGATGTAGAGACTCTGGAAAGAGTGCAGAAAAGATGATTAAGGGCCTGGAGACCAAAACATATGAGGAACAGTTGCATGAATTCAGTATGTCTAGTCTAGTGAAAAAGACTAAGGGTGACATCATAGCAATGTACCTCAATATTTGAGGGGCTGCCACAGAGAAGAGGAGGTCCACCTATTTTCCAAAGTACTAGAAGGCAAGACAAGAAACAATGGAGGGAAACTAATCAAGGAGAGAAACAACCTAGAACTAATTAGAAATTTCCTAATGGTGAGGAATGGAACGTCTCCCCTTCAGAAATGGTGGGTGGTCCATCACTGGAGGCTTTTAAGAAGAGACTGGAGAGCCACTTGTCTGGAATAGTATAGATAGATACAGATTAACAGAGTTGGAAGGGACCTTGTAGGTCATCTAGTCCAAGCAGACCCTGCACCATTTCTGACAGATGACAGTCCAGTCTCTTCTTGAAAGCTTCCAGTGATGAAGCTCCCACAACTTCTGAAGGCAACTTTATCTCTTTATTTCCAGGCTGAATCTCTCCTTGTTCAGTTTCCATCCATTATTCCTTGTCTGGCCTTTGGGTGCTTTGGAAAATAGCTTGACCCCCTCCTCTCTGTGGATAGAGAAGCAAAAAAAGATGCAGCAATCCTCAGAAATTATAATAGGCCCTTTATTGGAATAGAATACTCCAGTTGGCATTTGCACGTGTTAATCTAATTGTGATAAATTGTAGGGTTGATACAGTAATATTATTTACATTTTTATTGTTTTTTAATTTGCTTATTATTTTCCATTATTATGATACAATCTTGCTAATATTCTGTCTTTAATATTTTAAACAATGTCTGATTAACAAACTATTCTAATACATTCATGAGAACCAGGTTGGATTTATTCAAATCTAATATTTTGGACTTGCTCTAATCCCAAATGTAACACAGCATTCTTCATTGCTTTTTCAGATCAGTCATACAATTGTTTCAGAGGCTCTGAGTGATAAAAGGAATTTCCCCTTTTTCCACCAGATGCTCCATAAAGAAGGATTCCACTACCCAGCAATTGTCCAGCTGCTCCTCCATTTCAGATGGACCCTGATTGGCCTCTTTGCTTCAGACACAGAAAATGGAGAGAATTTCATGAGGATTTTTCCTCCTGTGCTTGTCAGGAGTGGAATTTGTGTGGTTATATCACAACTGTTCTCAACAACTGGATATACAGCATCCCTCAGGGATTCCCTCTCTAAGTGGAGACAAGTCAATGTCTTTGTTCACTTCATAGAATTTGATTCCATTTGGGGCAGAATTCTTCCTTTCCATTTAACATTTATGCGTCTCCCAGGACCCATTGAAGGGAAAGTCTGGATCCTCACAAATTTTGTGTTGTATGCAATGAACAAATGTAGACTTCTCAAATACATCCATAGTATTTTGAACTTTGCTTATCTGCCAAAAGAAAGTCCAATGGATGAAGCCTTTAAACCCAATTTCTTTGTGGAAGAAAAGTTTCAAGATTTTTATTTCCGCTGTTCTCTTTCAAAGAACGTCTTTTCTGTCAAAGGCCGGAGAAGATGCACCCAGAAAGCCCCACTGGAGACCCAGGAGAAAAGGAACAGGATCCAGATCCCAAGTCACTACCATCATTACAGTCTCATTCAGACTCTGGCCCAGGCCTTGAATGCCACTTATTCCTCCAGATCAAGGAGGAGAAGGAAGGAGGGAGAAAAGACTTTGGGGTCTCCAAGGCTGCAGCCGTGGCAGGTATGGGGGTCCCAATATGGATCCATTAATCTGAGATCCTTTGGAGGAGGAATCCAGAGGAGAAGGAGGGGAACCATCTCAACAGATCTGTCCAATTCAATTACTCAGGGAATAATGGTTTCAAAGAGTAGATACCATCGCATTTTAATATTACACACTGCTAATTTGAAAATGCTGTATTCTTTTTTGAAATGAATTCCCGTATTTGTGGGTTGGTGATTAGGATGGTGGAATTTCCCCTTTGTTCCGTCCCCACTGCAGGTGGGTCTGTGTGCAGCTCAACAGGCAACTAAACCCCCCTCTTCTCTTGACAATCCATGAAGAGGAGACTGAACTTCTCTGCTTTGCTGGCTCAGCTCTACAACAGCAAATTCTCCTCCAGGCTTGGAGCCTGCAAGGGGACCTGGTCCTTGAGTTGGGGTCTCCCCAAACCAGAATGTTCACTTCCTGAGATTCTTTTTTCTTTAAGTTTTTTATTTTGAACATAGTTAAAAAGACATACATAAACATACAAACATTTACAAAAATCTTAATTTCTTTTTCAGCTGCTTAGCAGTGATCCATTTCTTACTACAGATATTATAATGTTAATGTTACGATATTTTCAGGATCAGACTCAATAAATAAGTTGAGAATTATAAATTCAAATAAATCACTGTTTATTTACATAAGGCATTCTATATTCACTGAATATTCACAGATAGAAGCACAGAATGGACGTATGCAGCTCCTTATATATACAATGGGTGGAGCTAGACATGGGAGTGGTGAAATATGAATATATTAAGAGGTGAAGAATAAGTTAACCCCTGATACCCTGTTCATGTACTATTTACATAATGGAGAATAAGGCATTTACTTGTGACAAACCCCCCTCTAAATGCCAATTCGATATATTACAACAATTACAATCAGATTCAGAACAATATAAGACATGTAATTTAGAAGTCAAGTATTTATGTTGCTTAGATGGCAAAGGCTTTGTTAATATGTCAGCTATTTGCTCTGATGTTTCGCAATGAACTGTTTTGATAAATCCATCCTGAGACAACTGTCTCACGTGTTTAAATTTTATATCTATATGCCTGGATCTTTGTCCAATGGCATCAGATCTAGATATTTCGATAGCAGCTTTGTTATCTTCATGCATGATAAAAGGCAAAATGGGTTTTTTCCAAATGTCAGAGAGTAAATCATTGAACCATACAAGGTTATTAGCTGCCTTAGATAGACAAACATATTCTGCCTCTGTTGTTGAAGTGGCTACTAACTCTTGTTTGCCAGTATACCAGTAAACTGGACAGTCATTGAGAAAGAATATATAACCAGATGTGCTTTTTCTACATGAGGTATCTCCAGCCCAATCCGCATCGGCATAACATGTGAGGATGGGCTCTTTGACAGTATTAGGTTCCAATAACAAACAGAAGTCTAAACTATTCTTTAAGTATCTTAATATCCTTTTGACAGCTTCCCAATGGTATAGTGATGGTTTGCTAACATGTCTGGATAATAAATTGAGAGGCAAAGCAATATCAGGTCTAGTCCAATTGGAGATATAAAGAAGTGAACCTATGACTGACCTGTAAAATGTATTGTCTTTAAATTCAGGGGATGATTCGTCTGTATTCTTTAAAAAGTCAGTTTGCATTGGAGTATCACAGGGCTTAGCATTACTCAAATTACATTTATTCAAGAGCTCTATGATTTTGTCCTTTTGAGAGAGCTTAAATCCCCTTCTGGTCTTACAGATTTGAACACCAAGATACTTATTTACTTTACCCAAAGATTTCAATGAAAAATGTTCATTCAGTTTTGTTACAAATGCTTCTCTCCTCTCATTATGTTTACCTATGTACAAAATATCATCCACATAGTTCAATACAAATTCTAGGGAATCATCCTCTCTTTTGACAAAGAAACAATTATCAGCAGTAGTGGCATTGAAATTCATAGTTTTGAGTACTTTTACTAAACAATCATACCATTGTTTACCAGATTGTTTCAACCCGTATAAACTTTTATTTAGTAACCAAGTTTCATTTTTGTTTGTGTATTGACTGTGGGGTGCCCTTACATATATTTCTTTATCTAATTTTGCATGTAAATACGCAGTCTGTATGTCGTATTGGAACACATCGAGGTTGAGTGCTGATGCTATAACCAGAGCTGTCTTGACACTCTCTGTTCTTACTGTGGGGGAGTATGTATCTGTATAATCCTCGGGATATTTCTGTGCATAACCTTGTGCAACTAATCTAGCTTTGTATAGAGTATTGCCTCCCTCTAAATTTTTAATTTTATATATCCACCTAGTGCCAATGATGGTTTTGTTCTTTGGTGCAATTGTAGGCGTGAATACATTTAGTCCTCGTAAACTATCCATCTCTTTAGTCATGGCTGATTCCCATTTTTTCTTTTCTTCAGGAGGAAGTTTTAACACTTCCTCATATGTGTTAGGTGTTGGTGATTCTGCATTCATATGCATTATATAGTCTTTGTATTTGTTTGGCACTTGGTTTCTGCTACTTCTGATTGCTCTTTCTGGTCTAGTATCATTGTCATGTAAATATCTTGCTTCCTTTTTAGTTAATGAATCTGTTCTTATTTCAAGTTGACTGTTTGTCCATGTTTTGATTTTATTTTTATGCGTATTGTTACTATGTTCTTCTCTATTCCTTTTTTCTTGGAGTTTAGTGCCTGGATTAGTGTTTGGGAATATTTCATTAAGATGTATTCTAGACCAGTTGGCCTGTTCATGGAACACAGCTGTTCTGGAAACTATAAATTTGTTATTACTATCGATAAATCTGTATCCTTTTGTACCTGTCTCGTATCCCATGAATCTAAGTCTTCTGGATACGTTCTCACCTTTGCGCCTTAATTGTTTAGGTATGTGTACGTCTGCGGTGACTCCAAATATGTGCATGTGTGCTAGTTTTGGTTTCCTGTTATACATTGCTTCATACGGTGTCTTATTTATAATACTGGACCAAGTTCTGTTTTGTGTGTAATTAGAATATTGTAGGGCTTCTGACCAGAATTGTTTACCTAAGCCAGCATCCTCTAATGTGCATCTAATCATGGTTTGTAATGTTGAGTTCTTTCTCTCTACCACTCCGTTCTGGAATGCAGAAAATGGGCTAGATGTGTAATGTAACATTCCTTTGTCTTTTAGCCATTGGGAGAATTCCTTAGACATGAATTCACACCCCCTATCTGTCATAATTTGTTTTATTTTAATATTGTGTTGTGTTTCTATACGTTTGTAAAACTCCTTAAATTTCTGAAAGGTTTCATCTTTATGTTTTAATGTGTAAACAAATCCATAACGACTATAATCATCCACAATGGTTAGAAAGTAACGTTTTTTATAAGTAATTGATGGTGTTAATGGACCAACTAGATCCATGTGTACCAAATCAAAAATTTTGTTAGTTGTTCTCGTTGACTTTCTAGGTCTGGGACTAGTTTTGAGTTTTGTAGATTTACACACTGAGCATTCCAAATAGTTTTCACAATTTTTTATTTTAACACCTTCTGCATGTTCAGTCATCTTTTGCACTACAGGAAAACTGGCATGTCCTAATTTCCTATGTAAGACATGAGCACACTCATCGTGAATTGGTTTACCTATTTTAGGTTTTTTTTTATTGTGTGTATCTTTGTGATTATGAGTTACTTCATGTTCCTCATTGTCACTGTTACTATTGTCTTCATTATCTATTTCATTGTCATCTTCCATATTTGAATCAATGTTGTTTAACCATTTCTCCTTAGTCATTAAATAAGGTAGACCTCCTTTGATTATTACTGTGCCTATGTTTGTTCTGTTTTTCTCTAATGTTGCCTTTCCCTTTGAGAACACAATGTTAATGTCAGAATCTCTGCTTAGTTTTATTGCACTAAGTATGTTATGGGGTATTTCAGGTATTAGTAATACCCCCTCTACTTTTCCTAGGCCAGGTAAAATTACATTCCCTCTACCTATTACTTGGACCTTTTCTTGATTGGCTACTTTGATTACAAATTTGATTACAAATATATTTTTATTATTTGTAGTGTGATTGGTTGTTCCAGAATCAATAAGCCAATTGTTGTTTTCTGGTTGTTGTATGTTAATGTTGTCATGTTTGTTTAGCCCATTCAGTGAACCAGACTTTCTATCCTTTGAATTATCTCTGCCCCCTCTATGTTCTCTATAGTTGGGTGGACTTCTATACCTATGTCTATCAATGGAAGGTTGTCTGTTGTTGTACCTATTTCTATATTCTGACCTATGTCTTTCTCTTAGAATTTTAGGACAATCCCTCCTATTATGTTCTCTGGACCCACAATTGTGGCATCCAAATGGTTCATGATATCTCTCTTGAAATGCTACCTTTTTATATTGTTTGTGCTCTATGTGGTTGTTATAACGACTCCTCCTTGAATTGTCTTCAGCTATTAATTTGTTAGATAGACTTTCTATGGATAAGTATCCTAGATTGATTGTGTCTAAATGTGACATATAATTATCCCATGATGGGTCAAGTGAGTTGATGATAACACTTTTCATCGTTTGATCTGAAATTACTTCCCCCCTTAAGTGCAGTTCTGCTCTAATTTTGTTTAAAGATATTAAATGTTCACTTATGGTAACCCCTGGCTTTATCCTAGAAGAGAAGAACTCTTTAGACATTCTTGTAGTAGTGGCTACACTTTCACTGTGAAATAAATTAAACATGCATTGAATAATTTCTGAGACAGTCAGATTTTGCTTAATACTGTGATACATGGCAGGAGACACACTGGAAATCAATAAGAAGAATGCTCTATGGTGTAGGCAATCTAACTTTAGAGTCCAAGGTCTTTTGGGGGGTTAGTAATAAAAAGGAGTAAATTTTCTTTCATAAAGACAACCTGGAGCTGCTGATACCATTCTTGCAAATTAATGCCATCTATTCTCAGCTTTGGGAAGTCATTGGGTAAATTCCCAACATTGTTGGGTCCATTACTTACAACCGGAGGTAGTCCGTGGTCTTGCAAATGATGAAAGTTGCAAAACGGCGTGGGGATGCTCGCTACGAGTTTGCATGATTCTCTCCGCATTTCATGTCTTCCGAAGTTGTCTGCGTAGTCTTGCGCATGCGCGTTTCTCATTTCGTTCCTGGAGTCATCGTGAGAGGTTCTCGCTGCTGCAGCTCCCTCGCTCTGTTCTTCTTCCGATGAATCAGTCTCCGGCTCGATCTTTGGAGTCCTGGTGATGGCGGGCACTCGTTTTCTTTCGTTGAAGGCGCTGGTCCTTGGATTAGTCTGCGGCATGGGGCGGTATCTGCAGGGCTCTCTGGGCTCAGGCGTCGGTGCTCTCGCCGTCTGGATGGGAGCGGGTGGATTTTGAGGCGTTGGCTCGCTTGCTTGTTTTTTTGTTGATTTTTTAGTGATCTTCAGTTTCAGTCCGAATGCTGCAAAAAGCGTTTTCATTGCTGACTTTTTGCATGTCCTGATCTTCTTCGCGTGTCTGATCTGCTGAGGATCTTTCATTTTTCGCTTTTCGCGCTTTGATCCTGCTTTCAGCTTGCTTCGCTCATCTTATCTTTGATCATTTGATTTTGATCGTTGGTTTTCTTCTTCGTTGCGTTTTTATCTGCAAGCATATTACTCACTATTTTAGAGTCTTTTGATTTTTCAGTAGCGATGTGCTTCTCTTTCGCTGCTCCGTTGTTTTTTAGTATATCTTGGAGGTTCGCGACGAGACTTTCATCGCTCTTTTGGCTTTTTAAGAGTTTTAGTATCTCTGACCTGAGTTCGTTGTTTTCTATTTCGTTTTCTTCTTGGTCATCATCTTCATTTATTATTTCTTCGTCGTCTGTGGTGTATTCTTCAGATTCTCTCGAAATTGCATTCGTGGAAGCACAGAATGGACGTATGCAGCTCCTTATATATACAATGGGTGGAGCTAGACATGGGAGTGGTGAAATATGAATACATTAAGAGGTGAAGAATAAGTTAAGATAACCACCATATAATTTATTTACATAATGGAGAATAAGGCATTTACTTGTGACAGTTAACTTATTCAGCCTTCTTCTTCTATTATATTTCTTTTCTATTAACGTGTTAATTGATCTATCACATAAGAATCTATCCTGAGATTCCTATGGCTGCATTTGCCTTCTTTCCATGACCATCTCCCTGCTGACTCAGATTCTGTTTCCCGTTACCATATTTTTCGGAGTATAAGATGCACTTTTTCCCCCCTAAAAGGGGTGAAAATTTAGGTGCATCTTATACACCGAATATGTACACCTGCCCACCCACTAGCCGCCATCCTTTGGCCTCTGCCTCCTTGCAAGCAAACAGCAAGAAAAAACAGTTCCTTTCAGCTTCAGCCCAGCCTCATTAGCACAAGTTGATTGGATCAGCCTCCCGACTCTCAGCTCATTTGCTCTCAGCTCTTTTCCGCAGGGCTCTGCTGGTTGCTGCAAAGAGGTAAATTGTTGGAGCAGATTTTTTTTCCCCTTGTGCTAATCAAGCTATGCTGAAAATGAAAATGAAAGTAAAGCAGGCTGTTTGCTGTTTGCTGCAATGAGGCAAAATTGCTCAGAGGCAGAGGGAGATTTCTTTTTCTTCTTTTCCTCACCAAAAAAGGTAGGTGCGTCTTATACTCCGATGCATCTTATATTCTGAAAAATACGGTAACTACGATTTTGAGATCACAAACATACATATGAAGTTTGGTGTCCCTCATCTTTCTTCCCGTCCATCATTCATGTTCTTATATGGGACTCTGTTGTTAGTTAAGTCCTAGTTGCTAAAAATCAGAGATTTTTCTATTGCTTTTTACATACCATATTTTTCGGAGTATAAGATGTACCTTTTTACCCCCAAAAAGAGGGTAAAAATCTGGGTGCGTCATATACTCCGAATGTAGCCCCCACCCACCAGCTCCTACCCTTCAGACATTTTCAGGCAGTTCCAGGCAGGAGTGATCTGGGTCTGGGCACAACCTGAGGAACAACCCTCTTTGGGACAGTCTGGGGAGGGGTGGAATCTGCCCAGCAGACGTTTTGCCTCTAAGTATATGACTGTCAGGTATGCTTCCTTCAGTATCCAGGAAAGAAAACCCCAAACTCAAGCATTTTGAAGAATTGGTACTTTTACTGAATATGAAAGATTAACAGCCCAGGAAAAGCTGGAAGTGATCAAAACGCGCGAAATGCATCTACTAAGCTTCTTCCCCCCCTCGTGTTTATATTTTCTCAGCCAATCTAAAGGTCTTCCAAAGGTCAGGTGGCAACACGTCTGGCAGCGTCATCCATCAGGAATGTCGAGACAGTTGGTCAGCCATCCCCTTCTGAAATCCAGTTTCGATTCCCACGAAGTCCCCTCCTAAAAAGACAAACCCCCTCCTGCTCTCTTCCCCCCCTTTGCTCCATACCTAATCCCTCCCCGTTTCTTATGGCAGCTAAAGCAGAAAAGCTGAGGCTGACATTGACTTTTAAATACTTTATCAACTTTGTCATCATAAAATAAGTAAGCATGCCATCCAAATTCAAGATCAAAACTTTCTGCATTCAATATTCCAGCCTTTTTACTTCCAAACCAATCACTTGTTAAAGTTAAAGCTGCTGCATCATAATATAGCTGTAGGTTTGGAAGTTTAAGACCTCCTCTTTCTGGAACATCTTGCATAATTTTCAATTTCACTCTCGGCTTTTTCTCGTTCCAGACAAACTTATTGAGTCCAGTTTGCCAGACTTTCAATTGTTTATCACTTTTAAGCACCGGAATCATTTGAAACAAAAAAAGAAATCTTGGCAAAATGTTCATCTTAACTGCTGCTATTCTTCCAAGTAGAGACAGCTGCAGTTTTTTCCAAGTCTCCATGTCTTTCTGCACCTCTCGCCACAACACCTCATAGTTATTCTGAAACAATTTCATGTTTGATTCTGCAACCTGAACTCCTAGATATTTTACCTTAGGTACAGTCTCAAAACCTGCCCTCCTTTCAAGCTCATGTTTACGATCTTGTGTCATGTTTTTAGCTATCATTTTAGTCTTTTTTGGATTCAGTCTAAAACCTGAAACTTTACCATAGTCTTGTATAATGTCCTTCATCAGGATTATTGATTCCATTGGTTGTGATAGGGTAACAACCAGGTCATCATCTTCATTTATTATTTCTTCGTCGTCTGTGGTGTATTCTTCAGATTCTCTCGAAATTGCATTCGTGGACTGGAAATGTGGCGTTAAAGAAGGCACATATTTCCACCTATGGTGGACCTGTCGAGAGGCAATGAAATTTTTGAAGAATATTCTGAAGTGGCTTAATGAGATGCTGGGGCAACATATACAATTGCGTCCTGAGGTATTTTTATTAGGGATAAGACCCGAAAATGTTAACAGAACACCATGGTACCTGCTGCTGCATATAAAAACAGCTGCAAGATTGGCATGGGCCCAATACTGGAAGATGGAGGTCAGCCCACCCGAACAAGTAGTAATTCAGAAAATAATGAATTGTGCGGAATCACATCGGCTTACTATGTTACTGAAAGGACGGGGGGACACAGATTATTATATATCTTGGAATCAATGGTATAATTGGATGTCAAATCGAGCTACAAATAGAGGTATTGGATAAGCATGTCAATTGGTATATGTAATAGACTTTTGTAGGTTACCCTATATATATAATGGGACAAGTTTATTTCCTTCTCGCGTTGAGATGTAGACCACTATAGATTTAATGTTTGTTGGATGTATAAGATTAAAAAAAAAAGAATGCTGCAACGGGCATAAATGTGTGAACAGTCGTAAGTACGAGGACCGGTGAATAGTGAGAGGACCGGTCAGAAGTCACTTTTTTCAGCCCTCTGAGTAGTCCCTATGCACATAGCCATGCCCACCCAGTCACATGACCAACTAGCTACACCCAGCTGGTCACATGACCACCAAGCCACGCCCCCAAATAAGCCACACCCACAGAACCGGTTGTTAAAAAATTTGAATCCCACCACTGGTTAAAGATGCTGTGTGATCCTCATCATATGGAAAGTAATCAAACGAGGCTCTTAGTGCCAATAAAGGATTAAAGATAAAACTGTCCTGAAAAAAACGTTGTGGACAGTTTCCCTTTCCTAAGAAGACAAGAAACGGCTGTTCCCACCCCTGAAATTTCCCAGCCCTCTCAGAAGTTGGCTACACAATTGGGAAGAGCCCAGAAGACTATGAAAGCCATCTTCTCTCAGATGATTGACAGTTGACTGACAGTTGAGCTGGAGGGATGACATCATCCAGCCAGTAGAACCCCAAGGAGATGAGAGGCCTCCCTTGGGATCCTATCAAAGCTCCCCTCCTCCACCTTTTCTACCCAGCCCAAGGCCACCCCAAGACCCCCAAGACCCTCCTAATTTCTCCCCTTTTGGCCCAGAAGGCCTGGCTCTTTTGTGGTAGACTGCCTCTTCCTATGGAAGCTCAACTCAGCTAGAGGACTGAGCAAGACTCACTGATGCAGCTCTTGCTCAGCCTCCAGTTCGATTCCCTTTGTGTTGAGGTGCTGGTGTGTGTGTGTGTGTGTGTGTGTTGCTGTTGTTGTGGCGACATCCCTCTCTCAGCTCCCTGTGTTTCTGCTGCTCAGGTCCAGACCTTTTTTTCTGGGCTCCAAAGTCTCGTTTGATGGTTTTTAAGGGCAGAGAAAGGGGAGAAATTCTCTGCCTGGATTTTTAAATGCAGACACCATTTCTAATAGCCCAATGGAGCTGAGCCCCAAATCACAGGACCCTCTTTTAGACGGGATCCAGTGTGGGGGGGATCCAGTTGTATCCAGAGAGCCCAAAGATCCCATTTCGCCTTTTTACCCAAGAGGCCTGGATCTTCCCAGGTAGACAGCCTGTTATGGATGGGGTCCCTATAGCTATCTTAAGGGCTGCCAAAGGGAATCTAGAGGAGCCTCCCTCCTAACTCCAAGTCTTTTGGGGGGAAATGTCACATTTCTTCAGCCACAGGTGCCGTGTATTCCCTCTGGGGCCACTTTGAAGCATGAGCTCCCAAACGTCTCAATTCTAGATGACTGATTTAATTCCATCTCTGCCCCTGTTATTATGAATCACATGAGGATTATTTCCCTTTCATTTCCCTCCAGAGAATTTCCCAAGAATCTCCCAGTCCAAGAACTACTTGAATTATCCAGGATCCCTCCTGAGAGGGAGAATTATGGTAAAAGTTTCAGCTCTGCTCTTTGGCCGAATCCTCCAGGGGAGACTTTGGGCAGAGAAATATGGAGGTTTGGGACAGGAAGACTCTGTGCTCTTGAATCTACGTCTCTCTCCTTTCCAGGTGAAGCTGAAGGTTTCTCTGTGTTGAGAAAAAGCAATGGGATGTTCCACCTTGTGAGAGTCCTTTGATTCTTCTAATTCTTCTTTAGAAACAGGAAAGGGATTCATTGATTCACGCCATGAATGATGGACCTCCTGCTTCTGCTTCTGATGCTGCTTTTGTCCCATCCAGTCTCTGGGAAGCTGAGAATGAAATGCCCGCTGAGATTGGAGAACCAGGATGGAAAACCATGGAGTTACTACAGACCAGGAGACCATGTAATCAATATAGTCACCACTGGAACGGAAAGATTGCATGCAAAGTTGCTTTTCAACCTGGCTCCTTCTCTTCAGTTTGTTTTCCATGATCCGTAAGTCATTCAGGGTGATGGAGTTGCACTCCCTCCATTCTAACACTCTCCTTCTTTTCTATTTTTTCCCCATTTATTCCTATATTGGGGAATATGTCTAATTTCCTGAATGATTTTGATTTCCATGGCTTTTCTCTTTGGTCCGATTTTGTGAAAGAGACTCAAAAATGGGTCTGAAAAAAAGATGAAAGGGCTGCAGATTATTTTCCTCCTTCAGTTCAGTCCTTAATTTATCACTTGAATAATGAATTTTATTTAAAGTAGTGGTGGAATCAGTTGTAGTTGCTGTACCTCAGCCCATTTCCATATTTGTGTAACTGATCATTGCTTTTGGATCAATGTTGGTTTAAGGCTCAGTAGGCTTGTGGAGGATTATATATATTACATATAACAAAAGTATTTGTTCTGGCTGTTGATTATAATAACTTTTTTTTCAATAGGACTGATTACGAATTTGTTCATTGCTTACTATACATTTTCAACATTCAACTGGTCAACAAGAATTCCCATCTCTTGCACAATCTCACACTTGGCTACAACACCCATAACAACTATTTGAGCACTTTCCGCACTTCAGATGCCTTGCTGGATATTCTCTCCACTGGAGAAGCCAATGTCCCCAACTACAGCTGTGGAAGGAAGGAGAACCTCCTGGCTCTTCTTGATGGAGCCAGTAGGGCCATCTCCATCCAGATGTCAACATTAGGAGGCACCTACAAAGTCCCACAGGTTTGTGTGTTTGTTTCTCGATTTGGTAAAGTGAGGGATGGGTGGTGGTGGATGAGCAATAGATGCAATCATGTCTTCTCCATGGAATTCAAGAGCTGCTTTCTCCATATTAGCAAAAACATCAATATTTTACCCCATTATGTTCATGATGAGATTAATCATAAAAGGCCTGAAATACAAGCAATACATTCCCTGGAGAAGATATTCTAAGAACTAGAATTTAACTGATCAAAAAATATCCCTGGTTGTTGGGCATCTATTGGCATCTTCATTTTCACAGATCAATAATGCCTGCCCTATCCAGTTGGATTGAAATTGGCAATAGTAGCATTTTTTCCATCTAAAAAGTGGAATAAAAATTACTCTAGCAATTATAGACCAAATAGACTAGCAGATATTGTTGCTAAAATTTATGCCATGATCCTCTTAGTTAAACTTGAGAAAAATTCATTTCTTTTTTTTTTATTGAAAAAGTTTTTCAAATACAGATTTTTCCCCCTTTCCCCCCCTCCTCCCTCCCCCCTCCCCCTCCCCTCCCCCCATGGCTTCTCCAAAATAAAATCCAAATTGATATCACATTATATAATCCTTTTATAATAATCCTTACCATCCTTTTACACCACCCCCCATATGCTAACCATTTCTTTCTAACATTATTATTATATCCCCCCTATACTATACATTTCAAAGCAACTTTCAGCTATACAATTATATAATAAATCCTAATTTGGCATTTATTCAACTCATAATCTACCCATTTCCTCCACCCCCATACATATATCTCTTAATTCAAATCTTTTACGTATATTAATATCTGAACATAACATCACTTTACCTAAACTAAACAATCAGTAAGCTAACCTATCTCCACCCACTTTCCTACAGGTCTACCATACATAATATTTTTTATATCTTTGTTCTTCTGCCCACACCACTAAAAGATATTTCCATATATAGATAAAATCCTCAAATGACTTTAAGTTTGTAATCCATATAGTCCTCAAGGCTCCCCTTGGATACTAGGTGGCTCAGATACTCAGGACCTGGGCCTCCGGCTGATGCTGTGCAACGCCAGGTCCATGGTAAATAAGGCCCCCCTCATTTACGATCTTATTCAAGAGGGGGGAGCGGACCTGGCGGGTATTACGGAGACCTGGTTGGGCCCGGAGGGAGGGGTCCCTCTGGTTGAGATGTGTCCACCAGGCTTCAGAGCATTCCATCAGCCGAGGGCCCAGGGGAGGGGCGGGGGGGTGGCGGTTATTATTAACGAAGGTCTGGGTCCGAGGGAGACCACTGTGCCACAGATTGCCGGATGTGAGTCCCTCTTTGTGAGATGGGGTCATGGGGTTCAGATGGGCTTGCTGCTTACGTACCTGGCTCCCTGCCGCGTGGCAACGGCCCTGCCCGAGCTACTCGACGTGATAGCCACGGTGGCAGTTGATACACCCAGGCTTATGGTCATGGGTGATTTCAATCTGCCGTCTGTTGGTGAAATGTCGGAGATGGCTCGGGAGTTCATGGCTTCCATGACGGCCATGGACCTGACCCAGTTAGTTCATGGCCCCACTCACAGGGGGGGACACACGCTGGACCTGATTTTTGTCTCTGGCCAGTGGTTGAGTGGTCTTATTATAGGGGATATAGACATGAAACCCTTGTCATGGTCAGATCACTCACTCCTTCGTCTGGACCTTTGAACCGCTACACCCCGCCGCAGGGAGGCGGACCCAATTAGATGGATCCACCCCAGGCGCCTGATGGATCCTGATAGGTTCCAGACGGAGCTTGGGCCAATTCCTGAAGATCTGGCACACGACTCGGCCGTGGACCTGGTAGCCGCCTGGGATCGGGCGGCTGGTGGGGCCTTGGATCGAGTCGTGCCTTTGCGGCCTCTGACCCGGTGTTGATCCCTCGCGGCTCCTTGGTTCACCGAGGAGCTGAGGGAGATGAAACGCCGGAAAAGACGCCTAGAGAGCAGTTGGAGGGCCAGTCTCGCTGAATCTGACCGAACACTGGTAAGGTTGCATATTAAGACCTACCTAGTGGCGATAAAGACGGCAAAGTTTAACTACTTTTCCGCCTCTATTGCGTCATCAGGGAATCGTCCGGCCGCCCTGTTCAGGGTAACCCGCTCCCTGCTCCATCCGGGAGCGCGGGAGGATCCCTTGGAAGGCAGGGCGGAGGATTTTGGACAATACCTGTATGACAAAATCGCTCAGATCCGGGGGGATTTGGACTCTGACTGGGTAGATCAGGGCAGGGTGACGAGGAATAGTCTTGAGAATGTTACCTGGGAGGAGTTTGATGCTGTGACTCCGGATGATGTGGACAGGATTTTGGGGAGACTTAGTGCGGCCACATGTTTACTGGACCCGTGTCCCTCCTGGTTGGTACTGGCCTCCCGGGAGGTTACACGAGGCTGGCTCCAGGGTGTTATCAACGCTTCGTTGAGTGAGGGTCACTTCCCCGCCGCCTTGAAAGAAGCGGTGGTGAGGCCTCTCCTCAAGAAGCCGTCCCTGGATCCGGCAATATTGGCCAACTATCGTCCTGTCTCCAACCTTTGCTTCCTGGCAAAGGTTGTTGAGAGTGTGGTTGCGCGACAGTTTCCACAATTCTTGGAGGAAACATCCTATCTAGATCCGTTCCAGTCGGGTTTCAGGCCTGGACACAGCACGGAAACGGCATTGGTCGCGTTGGTTGATGATCTCTGGAGGGCTCGGGACAGGGGTTGTTCCTCTGTTCTGGTCCTGTTAGACCTCTCAGCGGCTTTTGATACCATCGACCATGGTATCATGCTGCACCGGTTGGAAGAGTTGGGGATGGGGGGCACTGTATTACAGTGGTTCTCCTCCTTTCTCTCCGACCGGTCGCAGTTCGTGTTGGCAGGGGGGCAGAGGTCGACCTCAAGGCCTCTTATATGTGGAGTGCCTCAGGGGTCGGTCCTCTCGCCCCTCCTGTTCAACATTTATGTGAAGCCGCTGGGCGCGATCATCCGTGGCTTTGGGGTGAGATACCACCAGTACGCTGATGACACCCAGCTGTACATCTCCACCCCAGGCCACCCCAACGATGCCCTTGAAGTGATGTCCCAGTGCCTGGAGGCTGTGCGGATCTGGATGGGGAGGAACAGGCTCAGGCTCAACCCTTCCAAGACTGAGTGGCTGTGGCTCCCGGCATCCCGATATAGTCAGTTGACTCCATCACTGACTATTGGGGGCGAGTCGTTGGCCCCCACAGAGAGGGCTCGCAATCTGGGAGTCCTCCTGGATAGGCAGCTGTCCTTGGAGGAACATCTGACGGCTGTAACCAGGGGGACCTTTTGTCAGGTTCGCCTGATCCGCCAGTTGCGGCCCTTTCTTGATCGGGATTCCCTGTGCACAGTCACTCATGCCCTCGTCACCTCTCGCCTTGACTACTGCAATGCTCTCTACATGGGGCTCCCCTTGAAGAGCACCCGGAGGCTCCAACTGGTCCAGAATGCAGCAGCGCGGGTAGTGACGGGAGCAGCCTGGCGCTCCCATGTAACACCGCTCCTGCGCGAGCTGCACTGGCTCCCAGTGGTCTTCCGGGTGCGCTTCAAGGTGTTGGTTATCACCTTTAAAGCGCTCCATGGCATAGGGCCTAGCTATCTTCGAGACCGCCTGCTGCCACCGACGATCTCCCATCGACCCGTGCGCTCCCACAGAGAGGGCCTCCTCGGAGTGCCATCAGCCAAACAGTGCAGGCTGGTGACCCCCGGGGGAGGGCCTTCTCTGTGGGGGCACCTACCCTCTGGAATCAATTGGCTCCAGAGATAAGGAGAATCCAAGACCTCAGTGCCTTCCGCCGTGCCCTTAAAACCTTCCTTTTCCAGCAAGCCGGACTGGCCTAATTTTTTAAGTGTTTTTAAGTGTTTTGTTTATTGTTTTTAATTAATGGGGCCAAATTTATATATGTATATTTTAACTGTATTTTAATATTTGTACTTGATGTTTTTACTTGGCTGTTCACCGCCCTGAGTCCTCAGGGAGAAGGGCGGTATACAAATTCAAAATAAAATAAATAAATAAAATAAATAGTATCTTCTGTAATGTCTTTCAACTGGATTATTAATTCCATCGCCCATCGCCCAGGGTAACATCAAGTTCTGCTTCCAACAGTATATTCAGTATCTTCAATTATCATCTGCCCCCATCAATAATAAATGTTTTCATATATAAAAAACCACCTGAGTGACTTTATATTTATATTCCATGTAGTATCTTCTGTAGTGTCTTTTGTCTAGATTATTAATTCCAACCACCACGTTAGGGTAACAACCAGATCTTCTGCATGCCCCAATTCCATAGTTCTCTTGCCTTATAACTCAACATATACGTAATCCATTTTTCAAAGAATCCAAAATAGAAAGTTCCAATCCGCTCAATCAAAGGCCATCTTCCACATCCCAAAAACACCAGCACTGCAGAGATCTGTTATTCTTCTCAAAATAGTATAAGTCAATCATTTGCCTCAGCTATATTTTCATGTATCAGCCTTCTATAAATCCCGCTTATTATATTTAATCGTCTCTTAAGTAACTGGCATTAGTCTGTTGGCTAAAAAAAAAGATTTTTTTTTAATTGAAAAAGTTTTTCAAATACAGATTTTCCCCCCTTTCCCCCCCCCTCCTCCCTAACCCCCCCTCCCCCTCCCCTCCCCCTGTGGCTTCTCCAAAATAAAACCCAAATTAATAACAGATTATATAATACTTTACAATCCTTTTTACTCCACCCCCCATATGCTGACCCTTTCTTTCTAACAATATTATTATATCCCCCTTATACTATACATTTCAAAGCAACATTCAACTATAAAATTATATAATAAATCCTAATTTGGCATTTATTCAACTCATAATCTACCCATTTCCTCCTCCCCCATACATATATCTCTTAATTCAAATCTTTTACGTATATTAATATAACATAACATCCCTTTTCCTAAACTAAACAATCAGTAAGCTAGCCTATCTCCACCCA